TCAGTTGCAGGAGGGAGCTTCCCGCTGCACCTGTGGGCTGCACACATGGTGCAAAATGTGTTTTGTATTAGAATTAGAAAAATTAGAAAAAGTTATTCATTTTGTTCTGTCACTTGAAAATTATTATGATTGAAATAATTGTTTGAAAAAAGGGGCAGATATAAGATTTTTTCTTCTTTCTGCTGCCTTTCATTTTAAATCTTTTGTATCTTTTTTTATATTGTTATGGAATTGTTTTGTACTTTTTAAAATGAATAAACTTTATACCATACCATACCATACCATACCAAAATCGTTTAAAATATATATTTTTAAATAATCAACCCATGGCACATTCATCAATCAGCCAATTATGTCATGTCCAATATTACTTTGAAAAATTGTGATATAATGATAAACGAACCGCAAAGTAGCGAAGGACTACGGTAGTGAGCTACAAATGTTTAAAACTGGAGTAAAAAAGGAGCTCCAAGACCTTCCTCTGTTGGTGGGAGAAGCTATTTGTTCATTTTTTCCTGAAAGATTAGGCCAAACTTAGATGTAATTCATGTGAAAGAAGTTAAAAGCGGTTAAGGAAGCATTCAGTTCTGGTGTCAGGATTTGTGTCTTTTTGGTTGTTCTCTGTGTTTTAACCATTATTTTCTCTGTTATTAGTGTGCTTGTTGTTTTTCTGTGTTTCAGTTTTTCACCGGTTCCTCTGTGCCTTCAGACACCTGTCAGTTTCTGTTCCCTCAGCTCCAGCCCCGCCCACTCTCACCTGTTCCCAGTTATCATTATACCAGGTGTTTCCCCTCGGCCCAACTCCATATAGCTGCTCCGTTCTCACTCCTTCAGTCGAGCATTGTGCGTGCTCCGTGGCTCTCTTTCTTTGAGGCGTCAGCCTGTTTTTGTGGTTTAATAAATGGTGAATTTTGAAGTTTTCCTCAAGCTTCTCGTGATGAGTCAGCTCTGCTGGGTCCTACAAGCTATGACACATGCATGATTTCTGCCATGCTACTCAAACTTCTTGACTTTAGTTCAGAAGTTGTTTCTTCTTTGTCAATTCTGTTTTGCCACCGTAACTTCCCGTCTTATTTTGTGGAGTCAGTTTCTTCCCTGTTTTGCTGTCCTGCTCCCACCAGATTCTCCCATTCAATCCTTCTTCTCTGTGTCTTCATCCAGAGTCCTGGTTTTCGTCAGTGTCAGTTCTTTACGTCATGTTCTCTAAATAAAAGGACTGTTTTCGTCCCAAGTAAGTGGTCCTTCATGTCTGCATTAGAGTTCTCAAACTCTCACCTGCTGTGTTTCTAATGAGAGTTCCCAAAAAAATACTAATATGGAGAACTGGCTAAACAGAGGACTGGGCAGGTTTTCTAGATCCTGAGTGGGTGTGAGGTGTATATTCAGTGTTGTCCTGTTTGTTTTCCCGTTAGTGGGATTAAACTCAAATTCCCAGTCTGGAATTGCTAAAACTTGGTGTAAATCTGAAGGATGTCCAAGACTTTAAAAATTCCCAACACTTTTCCTGAAAGTGCCAGAACTGCACTTCATTTTACACCAGTCTGCATTTTTAAGTGTCTTTTTAGTTTTTATTTAAACCAACACCTGTATTTAAAAGTTTTGCGTTTTAATTGTTGGTGGGTTCACCATAGAACAAACATAACTGGAAAAAGTTACAAATATAGGGTCATTAAGAATATAAATGTTTAGTTTAGGCACAAATTTAACCCATAAGGCTTTCCTGTTTTAAAGCTCTAACGGTGGCTCGAAGAAGTTTCAGGGGAAGTTATGACACATTAAGCAACATGTCATCAAAGAAAAAAATAAGAGAGGAGATACATCTTTTTTATTTTTACTCCTATTCAATTATTCAAATGCACTGGACTGAAAAATTTTCTTATCGTTAATAACAACTACCTGGTAAATGTCATTCTTTAAACCCAGGCTTCTTCTAATCAATTAGTGGTCCACAAACCTAACAACAAACAAATAAAAGCTTTTTTTATCGAGATAAAAAACTCTTCACATGAGAAGTAAACCAGCTCTAATGATAATAAACTGTGAAATCTCGCTTTAAGGATTTCATGAAACATACTTTTTGATACAGACATAATACTGAATGATTTTCCACTTGTGAGTCCTCCAGCACAGCTCAGCCGTCGTAAAGAAGAATATTAATGCGACTCTTTTGCTCAAATCTTTAAAATTTCTGCCAGATTGGGCACAAACTCACACAAACACAGATTTTTGTTTGTACTGTAGCTGCATCGTTTCCCCTCAGTAATGGTGGCAATTAGACGGGCCATATAATTACACCGTCCTCGTTATGTAGTTAATTTCTGTAATTACAAATTTGCACCAGTGGCTTCCTCTCTCTTTGTGTCATCTGCCTCCTTCGTTTTCCTCACAGACACAAAACAGCAATCACCAATGCAAGTGACGGACTATGGAAAGTCTGGATGATTAAGTTGTGTGTTTACAGGCTTGTGAAGGAGGACATGCTCACATACGTACGGCCATGACAATTAAAATCACTAAACTGGATAAATGTCCAAACTTTGGAGTGGCGTCTCGTGGGAGTTTATAGGTCTCAAAGGAAGGATTTTGATTAAGAGAATGAGCCAAAACATAGATGAAAAGGCTTTAACTCTTCTGGCAACAAGTCAGCACATTTATCTCTGCTTTATAATCTTCTTATGAAATTAGTTTGCTATGAAAATGACAACCGTTAACACAAAAGCCTACATTAATCTACTCTTTAAAAAGTCGGTAACAAATTTACAAAATTAACGTTTTGTTGCTGGTAATCAGGGCCTTCCACTTCAACACTTCAAAATATGGCTTGGTTACATTTCAAGTTATTTTTAGTTGTAGCAGTATATGAAGTAAACCACATGCTTTTTAATATTAGCCCATAGTTATTGTCACAAAGAACTCATGCAGCCTAAAAAAAACACACTTGTTCGGCCATTGCTGTTCCTTCGCAGTAATCCATGTGTAGACCAAACAGAAGCAGCTCAGCTTCAACAAAAGCATTGCACAATCAGCTGAGTGAAAATAGCATTTTCTTTTTGAGCATGATCATGTTGTTGCTTACACACACACACAGGCTATTTCAACCCTGTGACTACCCTTGTTGGTGTATTAGAAGCATATTTCTGACACATTTTTCATCCCTACATTCTGTGTTGTCCTTATGATGAGATTATACCCAAACATTTGTCGTGGCGCTTTAAACAGACTCTGGTCTCTGCTGTCCTTTGAAATGTTTTGCATTGCTACCATGAAAATAATACCTCTAACAGCACCAGAGGCACTAGAAAAAGTTGTACAGAAAGTCCATTCTCTATACACAAATATAAAACTACACTGTTTCATGTTCTCTTTCAAACTTCACTCAGTATCTCACGTTGTGAAGCACCGTATGATCAACCATGGATGCTCAATACCACCAAGTCTGTCACTAACAGACCAAGATGCTCATAAACGGGGATGCTGCCCTCTTAACAAGTACATGAGTCATGACTGGTCTGTGGGTGACAGAACTGGTGGTGATGACGCTGGCACAGGAGCTGCACAGCTGGAGAGGAAAGCTCTGCACAGAGTGGTGAAGGCTGCACAGAAGTCTGTTGGAGTCAGCCTCCCCACCATCACAGACATTTACACCTCCAGATGCAGGAAGAGGGCCACCTGCATCATGAGGACCCCACTCACCCAGCACACACACTTTTTGCCCCGCTCCCCTCAGAAAGGAGGTTGCAGAGCATTAAGTGCAGAACCACTAGACTGAGGAACAGCGTCAACCCTGAAGCTGTTAGACTCATGAATATCCAACCAGAATAATCACTGTAATGACACTTTAATTGGAGATTTATCACTTTATCTGTGCTGTTGATTTCTTACCCATAAGCTGCTATATTTATACCCATCTGCTCACAACGGACTCATGTTCAGGCTGCTGTTTAATATACTGTATTATATTATATTATTATTGTTTAGTGTGTATCTTAGATATTGTTTTTTTTATAGTTTTTAAAATTTTTATAGTTGCTATTTTTGGGTGTAACTACCAGTAACTGGGACCTTGAGTACACAATTTCGTTCCACCTCATGTACCACATGTGATGTGAATGACAATAAAGTCACCTTGAACTTCTATGTTTGGTCATGCCTAACAGAGCTTCCCATAGTGAGATCCATCACTCGGTTTTCAGAGAACTAGTGTCCCCCGGTAACAAAAAATTACTTTTAAGTGTTTTTTAAAATACTATGTAACTATTGCAATGTCTGTACCTTTTGGGGTTTTATGCAGTCATACTTATGATGATAGAAAGGAGTTTGCTCTCACACCTTGCTCTATAGAAGGCCAACTAAGACCAAAATGCTATCTTTCACCCACTCAAGCAGCACAAAATAAGTTACAATATTTGAGAGATGCACAACGTATTTGGACAATGGATTCTGACGAGTTAGTTCTAGCCTGCAATGGTTTTTGCGAGGTTGAAAACACCTGGTATAAACCATAAACTGGACACTAATGCACAACAAAGGCAAGCCATGCAAGGTTTATGGTAATTTTTACGATGTAGCAATGGTCTGGAGCAAATGTGACAAACTGCACCTTTTGGTGCCCTCGCAGTTGAGTGTGCACCTTTTCAGTTTTGTAACTCATTGCAGGATGCACCATTTGTGAGTTTGGAAAAAAGAAGAAACTAAAAGAAAGTGTGTTAGAGCCTTTGTATGATGAAGCAAACCCACTGTGGGGAAACTGGCAAATGTAAACTAGACAAAAACCTCTTACAAATAAGGTGAAGATGTTGAGACAGTGCAGTTTGTGTTTGCCCGATGGAGCTCCAGTAAGACTTGTGCTGCTCCAACAGTGTAGCACTCATGTTTCTAAAAGGAGAGCCAACGGTTTTCGATAAAAACAGCAGCAATAAAATCTGTACTGATGTTAAAGTTCACTCAAAGACCAGTCCAGTTAACTACCTATTCAGTCCTTCAGTTCACTGTCCGCTCACCTTTGCTGCAGTTGCTGTCCCCCTCCAGCAGAGGGCTCCACGGCGGGTCCCCTTGGCTGGCGAAGGTGCGCATGTGCAAGTAACTGATGGTCAGCCGAATGACCGAAGCCTTGTCCAGCTGACTCGTGATGGCCCCAGGCAATGGCAGCATCTTGGCCAGCTCGAAGAACTCAAAGTTCTCCTTCCCGCGTCGAGAGCGAGCCGCATTGCGAGATTTCTCTTTGCGCAGATTCTGGAGACTGAGAAATGGACGTGGAAGTGTGTTACAAGAAAAACGTAGGTGTGTGTGTGTGTGTGAATATACTGATAACATCCGAAGCTGCTGGAATATATAGAATGTCAAGTGAACAATCAGATGTATTGAAAAACCTGAAAGAGGCGAAGTACTGTATGCAATCTGAATCAGCACAGTACAAAATGAAACAACCTGACTATTTAGTGACCACCTGTTGACTGATCCATGTTCTGTATGAAACACCTGTATCAGCACAGAAACCCCTTTCATTTATACACAATAGCAGCCGTTCTTGCAGTCAAACAGAAACAATCTCCATTCCGACCCGTTTCTTGTAGATTGGCTTGATAATTACAGACAAAGTCCCCTCTTTTATCCAGTAGAGCTGAGTCCTAATAACACTATTTGCTCTAAAATCTATATGTGAACCCATGCAAACAATCTCCTGCTGCCTATTTCTCCTCTTCACTCCCTCCCTCCTACTCCCTAAATCCTCTCCCTCATCTGGTCCCGGGCTGCTGAGCTGTAGCCGTGATTGAGGGATCAATAGTGGGAGGGAGGGTCTGAGTGACAGAGGGGGGGCCGGGGCTCAGGTAGCCTGTCACTGGGATTGGGTATTGACTCTCCTCAATGGGGCCTGAGTGGTGGAATTATGTTGTCACAGCCACTTCACAATTTGTGTCAGTGCAGCGCTGGAATAAAGTGTTTCTCTGTGTATGTGTGTGTGTGGCTTCCCTCTTGTGTCTGTGTCATGTTCATCCTCCAGTTTCGTACATGCGCGTGTGTGTGTTTGTGTGCAATAAATGCGCAGAAGACAAAATAACGCTGCACAGTTTGCAAATATGGCTTTTATATCTTAATCAGGTGGCACAGCTGTTGTATTTCTCCCAGTTATCCTATAACAGGTGTGATCAGTGTTTCTCTCTGCGAGTGTATGTGTGTGTGAAACGTCTCATTATTATACCGCCTCGACCTGAAGCCACCGAGAACAATCAATACGTGCACATTGATTCTGCTTAGTTTTTATATCCGCCTGTAAATGACTGCCCATTAATAATTCCTGCCAAATGCACTTAATCTCCTTTAAGGGGAGGGGACTTGCATTCCTGACAGGCCTGGCAGGTGAGCAGCAGTACAGGTGAAATGTGGCACTGAGGAGAGCAGACTCATGTCTTCTGTATTGTGTTTCAGTGAGGGCAAACTCTTCATCAGGCTGTCGGCGTGCGTGCAAAGGTGTCAACCCGAGGATTTCACCTCGCAGAGATTAATTCATGAGCATGCACGCAGGCTTATAATGGCCTCTGCCTGTGTGTTTGTGTGTGTGTGGTCTTACCAGGGTAGGGTGGGAGGCTTGGCAAGAAGTCCTTGTAGGAAATCCCATTCCACACTCACGCACTTCCCTTCGCTGACAAACGGCATGCTCGCCATCTTTCCTGCGGTCCCGTGCCGACGCCGCTCCTAACGAAGGCTGTGATTGGCTCGAGATGGGACGCACCTGGAGAGGCGTGAGGGACGGCAGAGGTGGAAGGGCGAAGGAGCGAGTGAAACCAGTGCCCTTGGCTCAGTCATCAATAAAAGTCATAACATCATCAGCGTCTAATTAAACTTTATGAGCACGCATGTAATTCTCAGCATGACAAATTGATCATGTTTCTGGGAAAAGGTAAATAATGAATCAGAGAACGTGTTTTAGTGAAAATGGATTACATGTTTTGATTATTGCAGAGCTTCAACATAGTTTTTATACAAGAAACCTGAATATTTGATCTGTTCTTTAGATTGGCTTCTATTCTTTATTTTTAGGCCCACAGTAACATGCAAAACCTTTAAGGCAGCCCTCATTGCCTTGTCTTTTACTTCAGAGGAGGCACAATTCTTTTTACTAAAAAGCAACACCACCAAAACCAAACCAAAGGGACAAACCAGTGATGAATTTAGGAAATAATTCATTTTTCAGGTACTTTTTTTAATAGCAATTTGATTCAAACTGTACAATCAGATGATTTTCAGCTGTTTAAAATAATAAAGGTAAGGTTTTTTTTTTCCACCTATAAGGAGATTCCCTCAAGGTTTTTGGATGAGAACCTGACAGGTCTTATGTCAAGTCTTTGGATTTTTATTTTTACTTTTTTAATTCCTTAGGGACATTCTTTTAAGAGACTGTTCACCTGCTGCAGATAGTGTTTTTTCCCACACCTAAAGCTTCCTCCTTTTTCCTCCACTCATTCAGTTTCCTTTAAAGTTTTTACAGACGTACAGCATATGCCTAGTTTACTCTGAAACTGCCAAGATACAACAAATAAACTAAAAATAAGTCTAAGTAAAGGCCTTATATTCCTTGAAGGAATGCACATCCCCCGCCGCCTTTCGTGCCAGAGTTTGAGACCAAGATCATCTACGTATGTTGAGAAATAATAAAGTTGTAGTTGTTTGAGTCAAACTTTTTAAATGATGAGGTATCATGAGATGTCACGCTCAGAGAATGCGTTCTGGATGACTCTCAGCTACTACCACATTAAATTTTCATACAGTATCTGTAGAAATGTCCAAGTTAGAGCCATTTTTGTGTTGGTTGTATGTAATGTAGTGGCCATCGTGAATTGAATTGAATCCAAATTATCCATTGTAGGTGTTTGCTCAAGGATTGCCATCTTGAAACTTGATTAAAATCCATCCAGTGGTTCATGAGAAATTTGGCTAACAGACAAACAGCATTGACTCCAACAGTTAACGTTTCAAGGAAAGATCTTGTGCAATGAGAGCACTTGAAGTATGTGTTGTGGATGACTCTCAACTACAACTAAAACAAAATTTACTTCATTATATGTCAAACTGACTGAATTATAACCATTTTGTATATTTTAAGGTTAGTTGGCTTTGGCAGCCATGTTTAATTGGATTTACCTCAAAACTTTAACCAGTTGTAGATGTATATCCACTGAACATCCTGATGCATGCTCAATAATCCAGGTAGAAAATTCTAACAAATTTAAGTCAGGTCCTCTAGAGGATAAAAAAAAAAAAAAAAAAAAAATTGTTGAAACATTTCATCTTTTATCCAAAAGACTTATAAGTCTTATAAATAGCCCCTTCTCATAGTGGATAAACCAGATAGCTGCTGACATTCAAAACTAGCTGTTCACATGATAAAGGAGGACCATCAGCCTAATGACTGATCGTTAGTGCTCTGATGGGTCACTTGCTATCCATAGAGGGCTGAGTAACGGCCCCAGTATACTCCCGCGTACGTCCGTACAGTGGCTTAACGCTAACTATAACAACATTAGAAGATTACAATTGGAGAGGCCTCCGCCCCTGTGTAATGAAGGACGGTTTTTCATCACAAAGATGGCTTCTGTGTGTGTGTATATATATATATATATATATATATACATACATACATATATATATATATACATCCATCCATACATCCATCCATACATACATCCATCCATACATACATACACACACACACACACACATAAATAGTAGTGTTGGGCATGTTAACATGTTATTGCGTTAATGTGGCCAATGATTAACAGCAACTTTTTTTTATTATTTTTTTTTATTTTACACGTTAATGCTGTTAGTTTTCTTAATTTTTAAGTCCATGGCTCAGTGGCTGGTGTGTCTGTGAACGCACAGACAAACCCATTGGTCACAGCGGGCAGGATGTTGATCACTGCTGGCTATGGATGAGCATGATCGTGCGTCTCAACCAATGAGAGCCTTTATTTTGTAGGGCTGCTGCCATACAGCGCTCACGTGAACCCCATCAGAAACTGAACAACAAGGACAGAAACATGAAGAAAGGTACCAGACTTTTACATGGGCATTATTATTTTAAAACCTTTCCCGTTGGCAGGCTGGATAGAAGTGAAGTTATCTGTAAGCACTGCAATGCTGATATGTAAAAAAATGCTATATCGTAGTGGATAGCTACAAACTGCAGTTCAATTAGCGCTGTGGAAGATGCTGGTCTGTGTGACGTCTTTAGAACCTGCAAAGGTACAGTCGGAGGAAAGTACAACTACCATAATTTGTTACTGGGTCATTACTCAACCTGCATCACTAAAAGTTTTTTCTTCTTCTTTTGACTGAGATTTTCCAAAGGGAATCCAGAGCAAACAGGTAATATAAAGACTAAAATCTCTCCTGCACAGTCAGTTCTATCAGTTTTCTCATTTTGATTTTTATTGTGCTTGAGCACTTTCTCCAACAGGAACACTTGTTACTGAATATAAACTGTTCACGATGCTCCCTGATTTAAAAATGTTTCTTCTTGTGACTTTTCAGAAAAAAATGTATATTATTGAGTTTGTTGTTAATCTGCATGATTGTGGTTTTGGGTTTAAATGTATCTTTTTTTATTTCTTCTCTAAAAACTCTAAAAACATTACTGCCCAGGTGAATAGCTTTGGTTTCATATTTGATATCATGTTCATGCTTATGTTACTAAAAAGAATTTATCCGCTAGGGGAACACTGCTGTTAAAAAGTGCCTTTTTTGAAAATGTATTGAACCTTTTTTTTATATAAAACAGTACTGATACCTTAAAAATGCTCTAAAAGTCTTTGAGGCTTAATTACATTTTTTGCATAATAATGCGATAAATCTCAAAAACGTTTTGCGATTAATCGCAATTAAAAAAATTAATCTTTGCCCAGCACTAATAAACAGATATACTTTATAACACACTCTGGCAACACGCCGAAGCACATTTACTGTTTACATGTTTGTGTCTGATTAATTGAGTAAGAGTCAAGTTTAGAAATCGAGGGGAGATGAAAGACAAACGTTTTGCTGGTGTGACGTTTCTCAATTTTCTGTGATATGTAGGTTAGTTTCAGAATGGGGCTGTGCAATTAGTCAAATTGAAAGTTTCAATTTTTGCTCCAAACAATTACAAAAACAGTATAATCAAAGAAAAATGTATATTGATTTTGTGAGCGAGCTCTCTTCTTGCTTGTCTCTTAAATATGCTGCAGGTCAGTTATTTTAATGGAAAGTTCAACCAGAAGGTAAATAAGGGAAAAAATATATATTTGAGGTAATTAACTGTTCTTTAATTGCAAATAATTTTGACATTTCACAACTTAACGAACGATTGTTTTAAATAAATGTGAATACAACATAGATTGAGAATTATTGTGGTTATCATGTTTACCACACTCGACCAGCATTGTTTAAGAAAAATACTTGGAAATTAATAAATGTAAAACAGACAGAAAAAAAAATGCAGGACTAAAGTTTAAAAATGCAGAAATGTGAGGTTGGGTGGGCGCAGTCAGTTTACGTTTGTAGTTTCTCACATTAAGGTCAGGGTTCATTCCCGAGGTCATCGACCCAAGATGTATCTATTAAAGTAAAACGGTTCAAAATCACAGCTCTAAATGTCTCTTTTCATCCCCAGGAGGGGAAGGAACCTCACGACTTGAGTTTAAACTGACGAAAGTGGCTGTCCTCTGTCTTTGTTCTGGTAAAGTTGCCAATATTCTCCTCTGTCCTCAAACAGAGCAGCGCTCCTCAACAGTTTGCCTGCCCTCTGTGCAGTGTTGACATTTAAAGGGCTGGTGTGGCCCCCAGCACCTCGGTGTCGTGCCCTTGGGCACCGAGACGGGCCTCTCTCCCTCCCTCACCGCCTCTTCCTTCGGGCCGGCTGGGTCAGCACAATCGAGTCAGTGGAGCTTTGCCAGGGCAGAAGAAAATGGATTATGTCTCCAGTTTGAGCATGGCTCCGCTGACCTTGGCTAAGAGGGGTCAGCAGAAGCCGGGGCAGGTTTTGGCAGATATCATTGCACAAATCTGGTGTTAAACAGCCAACATTAAATGCATGCGAGAAAAACCTCTTGGACTGATTTCAAAGGCGGAGAAGTCAATAATCGGTTCCACAAAGAGAGACAGAGAGAGCGGGTCATCTTTTATGGGTTTATTCTGACTTTAGGCAGCAACGGTGAAGCAAATAAAATGTGGGATGTCTGTTTCTAACGTGATCCCAGGTCAGAGGGATAAAAGATGGCCTCTGTGGAAACTCATGCTGGATGGATGAATATTTCAGCCCCAACATAAGCTTAAAAAACAGGCCTTGGTGAATTCTAAAAGTGAATCATCTGAACCAGGTGTCCAGTCCTGGTTCTCCAGGGCCACTATCCTGCAGGTTCTAGATGTTTCTCTGCTTTAACACACCTGATTTGAATCAATGGGTGATCAAGACTCATGCAGACCATGAAGAGGTCATTTAAAATTTGAATCAGGCGTACTGGAGCAGAGAAACAACTAAAATATGCAGGATGCTGGACCCTCAAGGACTAGGACTGGACAACCCTGATCTGGACTAACTTAGGCTACTTTATCAAACCCAAACCTTCCATCCTGTTTATCCACTGACGTCAGCTCCTCACTGCCTGAATCAGATACCTCAGTCCTGGTCCTTCTTC